AAGAAAAAAGCAGAAAAAAAAGATAGCGGGAGTAGGCAGGGTGGCACAGCAATAGATCCAAAGCCGGAGTAGCTGACCAAAACAATCAAAGGTCTCATCTTTTCTCCCAGCTCATTCGCAACTTGACATTTTCGGCTGGAGTGCAACAGCGTGAGAATGCAAGCTGTGAGAGAGGAACAGAACCGCGCTTTAAGGTTTCAATTAGGAAGTTTAATTAACAACACTGGAAGAGCTCTTTGAAGCTGAGGTTGACTGAGGCTCCCCCTGCTGAGACATGTCATCATCAGTCCTGGAAGGCAGAAGACTTAATTGTTGTGCGTTTGAGAGCTCACAGGGCCACACAGCACACAGCTGTGTGAATAGAGCCTACTGTATACAGTACGTGTGCACTGTGAGGCCGACACTGTCAAAAACTCAAATTGATTTTAGTCCCTTTGTGAATTTGGGCAAAACTCAAGAGAAAAAGCAGTGGATATATAAGTGGACAGAACAGAAGTACAGTAGAAAAGAGAAGGAAGAAACTTATTTTCTCATCTACAAATTTAACAGAATTCAGCTTTGATAATTTCTGTGGCTTTATGCTCTTTTAATGTAGGGCAGAATAGATCAAATACATTTCTGAATGAATACACCGAGTCCTCTGCAAATGCCTTTTCCTCTTTTCTGTCTTCCCCACCTGAGAATATTTCCTCCAGATTGGCACAGCGAGAATACATTTAGTCTGTTCCACTCAGAGAAGGACACCAACAAAGGGAAGCACCCGACCGTTTTCTTAATCCAATAAGACAGGACATTCAAAACAAAACAAAATCCTTGTCCTCTTCGCTCACTCCGTGGCGTTGCCTGGATCACAGCAATTTCCCAGCTTCTATTATATGAGGGATTCTAACCGGGGCAGGAGCGCGCGTTTCCATCCTTCTTGTTTTGTTTTCTCGAGAAGCAGAGGTACGTGATGCACAAGCAGAGCTACTGTTTCAAAATTAGAAGCACCTTAAACTGCCAAGAACATTTGTTTATGTATGAGTTACTATATGCATATGCCGCATTGACATGGATGCAGGCACACCTAATTTTCCTGAGCCCACATACATGTTTTGAAGTGTCTGGAGCCTTGCTCTCATACATTGTCAGAGCTTGTTTCCATTTCCAGTAGTTCGTATCTGCTGCAGTGCAGGACAGGCATCTCTGGTGCTCATATCCCATAGGGGATGTGAACTCCTCTGCTGACTATTTTTTTTATTTTTTTTCCCCTGGAAGAAAAATCTAAGTTTACAGAGCTGCAACTCAGCTAAACTAGAACAATTCCTTCACCCCTAACTTTCCTTTCAGTGGAGCAGGCGACAAACGTGAATTTACTGTGGGGGACAGGTGGAGGTGGAGCAGGGATGAGTTTAATCCTCATCACATAACGACTGTTTCACCACATCTACCGTCAGGCAGAATACAGACTCTCTGCAGCAGGTTTGAAAAAGAATCAAAGCTATTTAAATCAGTATCAGAATACATTATTAATCCCTGAGGAAATTATGTAATAAAGGTGTACATACACCTGACTGGCACTGTGAAACAACAATCCATCACAATATTAAGTATGCCTGAAATTCTTGCTGTTAGTCTTTTTGTTCCAAACTTTGATGCATGCATGCAAAAAACTTGTCATGATAGATGGTAAAGGTAGCCCTTTACAAGAGCGGTACAAAGTGGGTAATACCATTGTAACAAATAGGTAGCTTCATGGTGACATCAGCATAAGTAAGTCAATAACTTTGGTTATTTGTCAGGATTTAGTGCGCAGAATATGAATAAGGCAAGAAAAACACACTGCAGTAAATACTGAATTATTTAAACATTACAGCTACTTATTGTTAAACCATATTTCTTAAGTTGGAGCAGATTTGTGTTTGCAATAAATGGGGGTGGGTGGGTGGGATATCAAAGCAGCAGATGGTGCAGATAAAGTTTAATGTTATAATCCTGATACAAAGGAGCAGATTTTAGGGTGAACATATCATGAGGGCTGTAAAAAGACAGAATTCCCTCTTTTCAATATTGTTTTTGTGTTGCTTGTTCACCCATCAGAGCTTCTGCAGCTAGTGTGACTTTGATATGCAGGTGAGTTTGCCAGCCAGCATTGCCTTCATCCAACAGCAGTGATCTTGGAGCCCTAAAAGGCAAGAATGCAGTGAGCTGTATAAACAACACTGATGACTTCTTGCACCTGTCAGCTGGTAGTTTCTCCCACTCTTACTTTCCACTGTGTTCGAGCTCTTAAATGTCTACAGAATTCCTTTCTTCATTGGCAGATTTCATGTCTCTGGTTTTAGTGCCATTAACATCAGAACTGGACAAGTTCAAAACAGTCCAGTTTTTATTGTTGATTTTCTTTTAGATAGTAAGCAATCGTTTTACATCTTAAGTTCATCAAGCAAAAGGCTCTGCTTGGTTTCAGTTAAAAGGTTAAAGCCACCTTTCTAATATTATGGTGCTAATGTTACACCCTTGAGCCACCAAAACAGCCATCACACTGACACGGGAGGACTGGGTCCTCGAGTGTCTGGCATCAGGCAGCAGTGAATTCTTTGGGTGCTGCGGGGTTCGAGGGTGGAGCCTCTGCTGACCAGAGCAATAGGGAGGTTCAATTCAAAGCTTTGGGTTCTTTCTCTTCTTCTTGTTGATGGTCCTCGCTATCCAACAGTGACAGTTCTTGTCCACAAAAGGCAATGCTCAACAGACTTTCTGAGAGGGCACCTTTGTTCCATGTGTGCACCGCACAGTGCATGGCAGGATCTATAGTCCAAGGATACTTCAACTGAACAGGCACCTGGCATTACCTCGTCAACAGCACAATCAACGTATGCTCCTGAGGTGAACGAAGAAATCTAAACTCTGCTGGAGAAAAGGTTCCAATAGTTCCCACTCCAAAGACCCACAGCTACTATTTCATTATTTTGAAAGAGCCCTCTGAGCCATGAGATAACCATGTTAAATAAGTACTTTCAGTTTAGAATGCTAACTGCATGTCAGGGGGTTGGAGTCACCGTGCACAAGGAGCTGGTTAGATTTGAAAGAACCTTATTTTCATTGCAAGTCCTAATTTCATCGAAGCAGTCCTTTTATGTACTGGATAACGGCATAAAAATATTGTGCTCTCTCATTCGGAGTCTTGCTTGTGGCTCAAGGCATCGTCGGCACCCATCATGACAGAGGGCTTCTGGCCCCTGAACTACCTCTATGAGCTATTGATTTGGGAGAATTGGCTCATCCAGCCAGCACTCACGCAGTCCTGCTGATAATAGATTTACAATCGCTGAGGTTCAAACCAAGAGAAATACCATCTTCCTCCCAGTTAGAAAGTTTCTTTCCAGAGTTGAAGTTGGACTCTGTAATTAATAATGCATGGTTATCCCAGTGTGGTCAGGCAGTCCACACTACCTGACCACACTGCTTCTTTTGGAGAGACAAAGTTCCTTTCAACATGAACATGCAGGGCAGGGCTGTGCAAAAACAAATATGTGAATTTTGTTTGGCAGGACGAGGAAAGGTAGTCTATCACTCCGTTAGAGCTGAGGCATTTTTACAGCCTCAATCCCACTGCAATTTTTATTTCTGCACCACGATGTAGACCGTGACAATACCCCCATATTCACATATATTCAGTGTTAGGATAAACTGCCCTTTGCCCCACTCTCTCTTTCTCTCTGTCAGCCTATTTAAATATGGTGCTATAAGCTGCTATCCCTAATGGCGCCTCATAAACTGAGAGTTCTAAACCACTGAATGGATTTCAGCTCCTTCCAGAGAAAGAATGCGGTGCACGGAGAACAGATACAGAAACGATTTGGCCACTGTGGATGTGTTCACCTCCTTTACTCACACAAGTTGTTGCTACAGCTGCTGATTTAGGGCCAAGTCATCCTAATCTATCTGCCTGGGTATCACTGGTTGCAACTGAAAGGGGGCTGGGTGTTATGCATATAACCAATGAGGGAAGGAAACTAGATATAACACAGGTCAGCTCCTTACTGCCTAAGGAGCCTGTGAAGTGCAGTGTAGATTGAGGAGATGAGACTGTGCAGCATCTTTAATACCCCTTAGGGAGGGCGAAGCCTCTTGTGCCAGCAACACTCTCATTGGCCTTGACAGGCACGTTGAAGTTAATTTTTCAGGTCTTGCAAGGATCCAATGCACATACTGATGTGGTATACCTTGTCTCTATCCCTCAGGGAACATTCGTTATGCAGTTGTAGTTTTTTTCTTATTATATAT